TACCCAGAAAAAGCTTTTTAAAACTGGGGAGGGTTTTTTTTCACATATTACAAAATAAACCAGAGAGACAATAAGTGAGGCACCCATACAGCATATTCCTTTTCCATAAGACTTGAGAAATGCTGCATTTAATCAACCTGGAACATATTCACAGACATTTTTATTTATTTCTTCTTGAGGGTTGTTATCTTTGATGTTCTAAGTATGTTATGACTTTAGAAGTAATTGTTAGACTTTATGAATTTAATAGTTGACCTTTATTATGGTTTTCTATGAAGGTCTCTCTACAAGTCATTTTGCAATTAGCTTTTCATGTAAAAACAAATGGTACAATACATGTGACCTACTTCTCAGTGTTTCAAAAGGAATTCCAATGTCTAATAAGCAGTGTTCATTAAATATTGTTTGCTGTTCCTTCAAACTGAATTTTAAAAAATCAAGTAGTGTTCAGTGTAGAAAAGGTGGGATTTCTTTTCCTCTATTTCAAGTAATCTAGTACCACTTAGGTCTATGATAATTTTACTTACTATTAGTTTAACTTGTTTGTGTCCAAGTTAACACTAAATAAAAGGTTTTTATGTGGAGATTTGTACATCATCTGCTTATTATGTCATGTGCCACCACAGCAATTTTTTAATGCTATGAGCAGCTGTTTTTACAGGGTCTTTTTCGCTTAACTGTTATTCTTACCTGTCCCAAAGCTAGTAGTACTTTTTAATTGCTGTTTCTTTCTATCTTAATGTATGGTTGGTGTGGGGTTTTTTTTTTGCCCTTGTTTCTGTCTCTGAAGCTGCTTTCTAACTTTTTTCTCTCATTTTTTTTTCTGTGGAACTGCAATTTGCTACACCTTGCAGCATGTTGTAGGATTTTCCAACTTGTCAAACTTGAAAGTTTAGTTGTTTGGGGTTTTTTTTTAGCTCCCATCTTTTGCTTCATTGTTCCTTTCTGAAAACTACTGTATCAGCTTGTTTAATCAGTGTTTAACAAACATCAGTTTGTTCGTTTGGGTGGGAAATGTGCTTTTGAAGTCTGTCTTCCAAGTGTCCCCACTTCAGCACGCTGTAGTGTGGGTTTTAGAGCAGTCTGAGTGAATTTGATTCTTTCTGGATTAAAATAGGCTGGAAGAGATGATCCAGGGGTGCACCAAATGTGTTTCACTCACTAACAGGCAACCAGTCCATAGTATCAGGTATTTTAGTCACTGCTAACTCTAGTCTGAAGTGTGTACAGTATGTGTGTTAGGCCCTCAGAACCAACTGTTTTGTTCTACAAACACACTTCTCTCTGACTGCATTACTTGCTGATGTAAATGTGGCCTATGAGCTTTACTGTGAGTGCTGAACTGAAGCCATGGGTAGTTATTTAAGTGTTATTTTTGTTCACAGCCAGTTCTTCACTAAGAAGAACTTTGGTCCACTTTTGCACATTTTAATTATATCTTTTTCTGCAGGAAGTTTTAATCTTAGTATTTTAAACTTCTTGTTTATGCAAGTGTGACTTTTTATTGCTGTAGATGCTTATAAACTGCACACTTTGTTCAAAGTATGTGTGAGTATATAGTATTGTGGTGATATTTCTGATGGTCTGCAGTACTTGCCTGCTGTAATTTCACTTCTCTTGCCTTCTGTATGTATTAAAAAAATAACGTAATTTGTGATTTACAAGCATGAATGCTGCTTTTGACATTTTGTATCTACTCTGCATGTCTTATTTTTCGTTTCTACTATCTAGATTTGGCCCCAGTATAGACAAGTAGCAGATTCAGCTTCTAAGGTTTGTTTGAGTTTTAAATTTGTTTAAATTAAGTCAACAAAGCAATTTGCAGTTTATCACAGTAAAAGTTATTTTTATTTGAATTCTTTGCTCTCAAGTTGAAAGAGCTTGAAATCCCCTTATGTGTAATAATCCAGACATTCCTTTCCTTGAAACCATCCTAAAATTCAATTCAAGTGCAGACTACTGCATTAAACAAGCAGACATCTGCCCATGGGTTAGTAAGTACGAGTAACATATTCTATTGTGGTGGATTAGGTCTTCTTTCTCCAAGGAACAAGCAGCTACATCTAATGTTGACAAGCATCTAATCTGTTCTGTAAAAACATCCAGAGATGGATGTTCCAGTGTTCAACTGTCCTTCACGTTTCAAATAACTTTTTTCCAGTAGTATTTACCCTGAATGTTATGTTTCTCACATGTATTATTACTTCCCATTTCTGCAACAATATGGAGAGTGGTTTATTATTTTCCTCTTACAGCAGGAACTGGAAGTCTGATGTCATGTCCTTACCTTAGTTTCCTTCTTTTTGGTGTATGTAAAAGCAGATCTCATTTTTTCTTCATAGGCCATGTTTTTCTTTAAAATCTTATTTTTCTCAAGAGTCTCTTTAGTTTTTCACATTACTTGTGTGACATCTGAAAGTTGACAAAGAAGGTTTCAGTCAAAGTGTTTGGTAATGCATACTGTCTCTCAAATGAGTATAATAGAGCAGGAAATACTGCTTCTGACATTTGTACCTCTTACCTATTAGCATGGTCTGTACAAGTACAGAGCTAGCTCTTAGGACAATATGTTATAATTTTAACACTGGAATGTTCTCTGAAGTTCCTGTCGATTTCTTTATTTCCTGTCTATACCTGCTGCTACCTAGCCACTCATTTCCCACCCTTTGCTGTTGAAACTCATAGCATGAAATGTTGCATTTGCTATTACTACACTGAACAGGGATTTGATCTGCTTGTATGATGCATGTTTTTCAGGGGAAAAAAAAAAACAAACTACCTCTGATTTAAATAACGATGTATTCCTTCAACTATAAAGATGCATCTCTTAGCTACAAGGATAGAAAAACTGAAAACTTTTATATATTCTTCCTCTATGTTAGTTGTTGCAAAACAAAAAAAAAAACCAAAAAAACAAACAAACATGTAATTGTGTGTAATTATTGACATGTAATATACTGTTACTGTGCACATATTTTGGGGAGTTTCTAAAACTTTTGATGATTTAAAAGGAATTTCCAGTGGCTCTTTTGATTTCTTTGGCAAAACAATACAGTGCTGGAAACTTTCAGAGCAAAGTAGCACAATATCTTTGTGTGTTTAATAATGTTTTATTGTTCTTACATTTTAGATGCTGGCATCACCATCAACATCAGGTCAGCTGTCTCAGTTTGGGGCAAGTTTATATGGGCAACAAAGTAAGAATTCTTTTTATTGATCATATGGTTATTATATGCTAAATGTGTTCTAGTTTCATGCTCTGAATAGAGAACATATATATGGCTATGTTTTGTGATGATTGCAAAAAAGACAGTATGTCTCCTCGTTTGTATGACACTTAAGACACACTTTTGCTTTGCTTAGTATGCATTTTTGCAGTGTTTAGTATGCAGTGCCATATATTGACACTGTATAGTTGCTAAATATCGAAATATAATCCTATAAAGAATGTCTGTGATTTAGCTTTTGCTCTCTGAATGAAAAACTAAGGAAAGTGAGCTGAGCCAGAGTGAGCCTAGTTTGATATTTCATGCTCTGCAGGAGCAAAATAAATCTTGTGTACAGGCTTGGCAACTTATACTTGGCAAAGAAGTATGCCATTAAGATGATTGCCTTGTGCACCACTATACCTTGAAGATTTTGTGTATTCTGATGCAATAAAATAACTATCGAGCAACAGCCAGAGTGTGTACTGTTAGCCACCTTACTTAAGGGCCAGTGCTGAACCTGAACTCCTTGTAGCTGAGGGGTGCATCCCAAAATCGAGGCAGAATATCTGAGTTAAGTACAGTTACTCAAGTAAAATGAGTTTGTGAACATCTCTTATCGCTGTGTACTGCTGAATGTTTGCAACTTTCTTGCCAAGTGCATCTGACTCAGATTCTAAAAAGTGGTGTCTTCAGAGTACTTTAGAGAGTGTGGAGCTTTGTCTGCTAGATGCATGACCTTTTTTTTTTTTCTTTTATCTTTTTGAGAGTCATGTTTAGCTCTTGGCTTTTTGTGTCCTGAATCTGACACTGTTGAATCTTTCAGACTTAACTGTATAAAGGTATTGAGGTGGTTTATTAATTCTGTTTGTCAGAGTTATTTGTTGTTTATTATTAGAATTAACTTTTTTCATCCACTTTGTTGTTTATTCAGTTCGTTGTGGTGCCTAGGACATAATCTCTCTAACATGGAGACATGCATGGCTGAAAACTAGAAAGTAAATATTATTTGGGTTCAGTTTCTACCAAATATTAAGGAAAAGGGGTCAGAAACTGTGTTGAAGTCAATGCTTACAATTAGAATTCAGTTAGGGAAAACAAAACTGATAAAAAGCCTGCACGCTTTTAGGTTGATGCTGTCAGTCATTTAGCAAGGGATCATGTTAGAGAGTTAAAGTAAAATAACTGTTAGGCAGGAAATTGGCTCCTTCATTGATCGGCCTCCAATATAGCCTATGCAGATCTCCTTTTCTCAGTTAAAAAAATGGAAAAAGGAAGCATTTAAAAAAAAAATAATAAATTGTTTTCTTATGGTGAATATTTCAACTGCCCATATTTGCCAGCCACAGGAATATGGTTCTACTTCACTTGTAATAGCCCTATTAGTCAAAAACTCTAGTTTAGAGAAAGCCAGCAATAAGAAATAACCATCACTGTAAAACTTGCTTTGCTGAAACAAATGCTTGCACAAAATTAACCTGAGTATTGTAGTCCTGTTTTTCAGTGTCCTATATCTAGTTTGGAAGTATATTAATTTTTTTCTTTACCATTTTATTTTAAAAATTTCACATAATTGTCAATCAAAGTGAATTGTTATTTATAATATATATTTATGCTGAGTGAAATTATTCTGATACAGCAAATTGCCAAAATATTTACAGTTAACACCTTGATATAATCAGCATTTAATGAAGTCTTAAGAGGTTTATTATACCAAGTCACACTACCTATTAATCTGAATAAATTTTGAGTATTATTGCAGGCTTCTTGAATAGCAAATTCAGGGTAGGACATGGGCAGACAGCAGTTCCTGAAGTGTGAGACCTAAACAACTGGGAGGTTTCTTCAGTCTTGTCCATTATAATAACCAGAGCGTATGCTATGTCTGTTCTGTGCATTCTTAGTACTTAATGATGTTTTACACTGGCTTATTCAGCTCTTCTGCAGGGTTGATCTGCCATGGGAGAGTGCTGATTCACCATAATTTTTCTTTTGTTTGGTCTGCAAGATAAGGTTTTGAGTTCTGTGTGTCTACCTCAGCTGTCTTATGCCAAAGCAATAGGGACCATTGCTTAGAACTATCACATTTTACACACAAAGTTTGTTTCTGTTGATATGTTGCATTAAATGACATTTTCCTGTCTTTGCACATCATTCCAAAACTTCATAAAGACAGAAAAACATTGTCAGAATGATTAGCGACTTCATACATATATTTATTATTTTTTTTTACATTTTGAGACATGGCAGCAACTGATTATCTTTTACTGTTTGGAATTAAAATGAATTCTCTTTTTACCTGACTGAAGTGCTTACTTCATTTTGTCACACCCAATTGTTTGTGTAGAAAATACTTTTGATCATGATTGTAAAAATCTTCTGTATGTTTTCAGATGGTAATAGAGTGCAGTTAAAATTCTGCTTCCTTTCTTTTCTCAAAAGACTGAGCTTGACTTGATTGTTGACACTTGTGTTATCAAGAAGAGGCAACAAACTCAGAGAACAGGCCTAAAAAGTTGCTTTTGTTGTCCTGAAAGCAATATTATTGTTAACTAAATAGCAATTATTTTATATTATTATTAAAGATTTGCTTAGTTTTTAACGAGACAGATCAGTGTTCTAAATACTGGACAAATATGTACCAGTTTATTAAAATGTAGTTAAATGTATTTATTGAGTGCAGTTACTAATTACCTCAAATTGCTGCCTTTTTTTAGTTAATTTGTAGTTTTCCATGTTGTCAAAAATTCAAAACTAAAAGCTTCCTCTATAGTGTGCATCTCAAAGGAAACAAAATTTCATTAGTGACTCAAATACATAAATTCCTGTAAGAGCTTTTCAAAAGTTTAACAGAAATGGGGCTAAACCTGAGATAATTGGGCTTCTATGAGGCAAACAAGGACTTAGTTTTTACACTGCACTTTCCTTCAGCCTTTACACTTTTTTGTGGGTTGTCAGCATAGATTGTTTCCATCTACACCTGATGGAGAAGACTGTTCCTGATTGCTCTATATCTCCACCCCTCTGAATGTTTTTTTCAATAGGTGCACTAGGCCTTCCAATGAGGGGAATGAGCAACAATACCCCTCAGTTAAATCGCAGCTTATCACAAGGCACTCAGTTACCGAGCCACGTAACGCCAACAACAGGGGTACCAACAATGTCACTTCACACGCCTCCATCTCCGAGCAGGTATTTATTGATAGCCAATATTTCTGCAATTGTTTCTTTCTGCAGAGCACTTGTTAAGTGTTCTGCGTATTTTGCCTCAAGTACTTTACCATCTGGTTAATTAAAAAAAGAAGAAAACTAGTTTCTGTTGACCACTGCCTATGTTAGGAAAATAATACTGTAAAATAGTAAGATAGGACTTACTGTAAGGCAATATTTGATTTTTGTATGTAAAGGACAAATTGCTGGCAAAATTCTGCTTCAGAATGTAAGAAGCCATTTTTTTATTGTTCTGGTAAATGTACAGTTTAAATTTTAGTATGGATGTCATATACCATATGAGAAAATTTAAGGTTGTTGGTCTGAAGTGCTTGTTAAAAAAAGAGCTGTAACACATTTTCAGATGCATAATACTTAAATATGTATCTAAACCTGACCAAGGACTTGATTAGTATGTAATGGGTCAGCTGGTATTTCTGAAGAAATCCAAAATTGCATTAATTATAGAGAAATGATCCAAACATGCTGTATTGACGCTAAGCACAAATGAAGTTGCGACAGCTCAGAGTCCATTCTACATTAGTAATCTAAATGAGTAACCAAATACTATTGCACAGATTCATCTTTGTGGATGGTTTTTCTCTTTCAGGGGGATATTGCCTATGAATCCTAGGAATATGATGAACCACTCCCAGGTTGGTCAGGGCATTGGAATTCCCAGCAGGACAAACAGCATGAGCAGTTCAGGGTTAGGCAGCCCCAACAGAAGCTCTCCAAGCATAATATGTATGCCAAAGCAGCAACCCTCTCGACAACCTTTTACTGTGAACAGGTAAGGCTGTTTAGTCAGACCATCTCTGTACAGCCATGGATGTGCTTAAATGCTGCTCTGGAAATCTAACTTTAATCTATTAGAGTGAAGCTTGAAAGCTGCTTCGTGTGTTCTCATCTCCTGGCAATAAATTTTGAAGCTGCTTTTAATATTCACTCAAGCTTTTTGAGGCCTTTAAGCTAGATTCTGTTTCTGACCATTGAATTTCTACTGCTTCTTTAAAACGTGATTTCTCTCATATGTTCCCAAGTTTGTTTTTGAAACATAACTTGCTTTTTGGGTATATGCTTCCTTTTTAACACTGTTCATCTGTGAGATTGGGAAGAAGTAAAGCAAGATTTAAAATCACAGTAGTTATTCTAGAAGAATAGTAAACTGATTCAGATACAGTAGTAACCTAGTGTTTTACATCTTTAAATTCTGAAATAATTTATGGCAAACAATGGTTTGCCATTCATGTAGGATTTGCTGCTCATTTGGATGCTGAAGACTTCTCAATCACTTCTGCCCTTTTTCTAACTCTGGGCAAGATTCTAACATCATAAATCATCAGGCTTTAACTGCGTTTATGCGTAGTGTATACTGATAAACTTGTAGTAAAAAGTATGTTAATTCTGTTTGTGTGTAGTCTCAGCTTGGCACAGCTGACTGCTTTCCAGGCTTCATTCCACAACCTCCTGATCTCTCTGCTCCCAGTTGCATCCTTTTTCTCCCTTCAGGCCCTTCCTTCGGGGACTGACTCTTACACGGAGCACAAGCAAGCTCATAGCAGTCAGGTGCCACGTCTAACCCAATCTAGTGTTTCCCAAAATGGATAAAGGAAGGTGAAGACTAATGTTAACTGAAACTTGATCACACTGTTTAATTCCTCAGTTTCATGCTATAGTATAGGCATGTTAATGCTTTTGTTGATAACAGCAGTAGAGATCTGGTAGTAGCAGTTTGTTTTTGGAGTGTGAGAAGACTTGGTATCTTGCCTCTGATAACATAGCATTTGTCTTTTCTCTCTTGTAATGTATAGCAGCAAGTAAAAGAGATTATAATTTTTAAAGATTATTGTATATTTTAATGTTGTTTTTTTTTACTTGGGAATCACAAAAATCATGCATACAGAGAGCAGTGATTTTGGAGACTGATAGATGTATAGCCAGTGCTTGTTTAAATAGTGTTCAGCTGTAGGGTAGATAATGAAATTCCTGTCTGTAGGAGCATTTTAATTAAAATTCTCATCTTTCACTGTTTGCACTGTGTAACTCCTTTTTAGGAAGCTACACTTTTTAAAAGAAGGAAGTATCACAGGAACAATGACAAGTTCTTATCCCACAGTTTATTAGCCTACAGAAGTGCAGTAGTAGTCATAGTACATATCCAGTTGATCTATTTAACCGAAGTTTGAAATTATACTTGAGGAAAAAAGAAATTATGGTGTTTCCTTGACAGGTGCATGAATATGTGACTTCTAAGAAGTGTTATCTGAAAGGTTGCCTTAGATGGAGCAAGGAAAGTTTTTAGGTTTTTGAACAGAAAAAAGACTAAATTTTCCCTTTCTTTTTTACGTGGGTCAAATGGGTTACAAATAATTGTAGAGAAGTATGCATTTGTGGCCTAATCCCTTTCTTATCCGTGAAATTCTTAACGTGGTTGCTTCTAATTACTTTTAAAGCAAATTAAAACACCAAACCCTTGCATGAGAAATGCTGTTTGTCGTTAGGCTAGATTATATGCCCTCAAGACCGAGCTGTCTCCTGTTGGTGCTCTCACCAGGTCTAGAATTCACAGATGATACCGGGAATGTGTTTCTTCAGATGCGTGACGTGTCAAAGATCTGGATGTCTTTCAAATACACCACCTTGGGGAAGCAAAGCAAGACAGGACCAGTCTTGGCTAACTGTTCCCTTTCCTGATGTCTCTCAGTCCAAAATGAAGCTTTTAGGGCTATGTCAAATTGGAATGAAATGCTTCAGATTTGTATCTGTGGAAAAAGATCGTGTAGGTAAAATTTCCACTAGGAAAATGACATTTTTATTTACAGAAACTTCTAAAACATCAACTTCCATCTTGTTAAAGGGGAAAAATCAATGTTGTGATTTCCCACAGGGCAGAAATTCAGAATTTTATTCAGCTGGGGCCTGCCTTTGGGCATCTCAGTATCTCCAGCTCACAGAGAATGAAGTGGATCATTTGTAAGAGTGTCTTTCCAACCACAGTAGACCTATATGACACTTAGATGTTTGGAAATATTTTTACCTGACTATAAGAAACTTTAGTTAATGTCCTTGTGTGGCATAGACCATCCCTATGCCCTTAATAGTGCCATATGCACATGGTTGTGAATGCTCACCATAACTGTTCAGCTTATAACTGAGTCTTGACAAACTTGATCACTTCCATGAGCCAGCTTTCCATCTGCAAATGAATAGATTGCAGTCTTTTTGACACTGCATTTGCTGCTGCTTCATTTTTCTATATGAAATTATTCAGTAATGATCATGTTTGTCGTTATCTCTTGACAGATGTCATAAGACCCAGTACCAAATAAAAAAAAAAAGTGTTATTTTGAAATCATTCCAGTTGTCTCAATTGAGCAGTGCTGCTGCTCAAAGTTTTCAGAAGTATAAAGGAAAATAATTAAAAACTGAGTTTAGGGTAACGTGGGTTGCTTAAGCTTGAAAGAATTAATCTTAGGGTTTTTTCCCCTTAATGCCTTCCTTTGGAAATTACAAAGTGTGTATACCCCTTTGTCTGACTTCCTGGATTTTTTTCACAGTATGTCTGGATTTGGAATGAACAGAAATCAGGCATTTGGAATGAATAACTCCTTATCAAGTAACATTTTTAATGGAACAGGTGAGTTTACTCTGATTAATGTGGATCTTAAAGTACAGTAGAGATTTTTTTTATTATCATTTAAGTGTAATAGGAAATAATTTGTTCTGTTGGAGTCCAAGTCAGTTATAATTTTCAGTTGTTCCATAGAAATGCCGCTCCAAGAGCAGCGCTATGAAACTTATGACTTCATAACAGTGGATTTTATTACTTTTTAAGACAAAATGAAGATATTATGTAGAATACTGACTCTATGTCACATGACTGTATCTCATACCTACTCAGCTAGAATGCAAAATACCTTATGGAATTGATAAAGAGAACAAAGAAGAAAAGATTAATCTATTTCCTATGAAAACACTATGTAGGGTAAAAACAGCAGGAAAGCATTTTTTGAAATCTCAACCTCCTTAACAGCTGGTTTATAATGTGATCTTTTCAATTGGTTATTTCAGTTGTGATTTTTCTCTGAGAATTACTTCTTCACGTGAATTGAATGAACTGGAGGGGGAAAAACAAATGCTTTATTTTGTCCATGCTGCCATTTCTTTAGGTGGTTGTGTATAGGAAGCAACTGGAGGTGTTGGTGACATCTTAGAGTGCTCAGCATGGAAGGGTTTAGGCATCCCCTATGACCTTGTGGCATCTTCATTGCAGCTCTGGTCTTGTCTGTGCAGCATTTTCTGCTTCAAGTTGAAAAATGTTGCTGTGTAACTTGTACTGCATGGGCTCTACAGCTTGTTCAGCTTTACCTTACCTTACCTAAGGACAAAAGAGCTCCTTGATGCTGCTGCTAATATGGTTTATTATATTCTTTCCAGTGGCTTCCTGCTAGCTCCTTAAACTTTAAGTGGGCTACCTATTCTAGTACTATAATTTTTTTAGTCTGCTTATATTCTATGTGTGCAGTCTTTAATTCAAAATGAGTAGACCTTGTTAATAAATACAGCTGACTACCTATTGTTTAAAAAGAAGCCCCAAAAATCTTGATTCTCTTTGAGCTAGTCTCTTAATACAAAGGTTGTAGTTATTTGCAATAATTATAGTAAGAATAAGAAGATCAACTAGAAGAAAAAAATCATATTCCAAATTTAGCTTGCTCATAATGAAGTCTTTGAGGAAAACAAGTTGCTGTAATTTAAAATATCTGCTTTTATTGTAGATGGAAGTGAAAATGTGACAGGACTGGACCTATCAGATTTTCCAGCACTAGCAGACAGAAACAGAAGGGAAGGAAGTGGCAATCCAACTCCATTAATAAACCCTTTAGCTGGAAGGGCACCCTATGGTAAGACTATAGTTTTGAAAGCTCTTTGAACAAAATATGTGTTTGTTTGATTCACCTTTTCAAAAATGGTGGGCAGTTGAGCTCCTGAATCTTAATTTTTTAAAATAAATAATCAGTATCTCTATAATTAGAGATTCCCCTCAGGGTTTTTGAAAGCACTAGAAGTTGTCTTTTTTATTTTAACTGTCAATAGTGGTTGTTGGGGTTTTTCAGTCCCTGTTTTCTCTGAAGTTGCTCACTGACGCTTTTAGGCAATAGGTTGTTTTCTAGTTGCATGTATACAAAAACTGTCAAGGTCTGAATCATGTATTTCAGAAATAATACTTGATTACTAGAGAAGTTATTGTGTAAAAAGTCAGCAGCTGTAACATACTGTATATTTTCACTGTTTATTGGTAGTACTTGTTGTAGTACTGTTCAGTACTGTTCACTCTTAACAATGAACATCAGATTTCAAAAAATAACCTGTAAGCATCAACTGTTACCAGTCAGATTCCAAGTCTGTGTCTTACGTAATTCTTGCTGAACAGCTTTAAAAAAATAATAAAAGGAAAAACTTTAAGGTGGAAACAAATCTTACTATTTGGGTCTGGAAAAAAATCAGGTAAGCTTAATGTGAGGGGCAATACTTATTTTTTGTTCCTATGTTAGTAAATTTGTCACGCATGTTGCATCAGATGCTCTGAAAAGTTGCTTTTATAACCTAAAGTTATTTTTGTGAGACTTGTCACATTTCCAACTAAAAATAACCCAGTGTTTTCTTACTCTAAAAAGGTAGTGTTTTTCAGAGATATATCCAACTTTAATTGTAGAGAAAAAAGAGATACTGCATTATCAGGAAAGTAGCAGCCTCGTGGTTTGGGCGTAACCAGGGCCCTCTGTTTAAGATAACTGTGAGAGAGCTAAATGAGTTGAACTGAAGTGCTCTTAAAACACAGGAAGAGTGGAAAGCTAATACAGTGCAGCTTGTGGTTTTCATGAGTTTAGTCTGTCTCTGAAAGAGAAGCCATTACATGGAAAACTGACAGAAGGTAGGAAGGAGATTCATACAGATGTACTTGCATCATGGAGATGGGAGTTCAACCTTCAGCAGCACTGCCACACAAAAAACTCTGTAATCACTCCCATGCTTACACCATTTCCCTGTTTTGCGGCTACTATAGCTGTTCACACAACTGTATGGTGAAGCAGAAAGAAATTTCTCTGTCTAAAGAGTTACCTTGAGCATCTGCATACGTAATGCAGGGGAATGGGTATGGTGGTAGAAACTATTGACAGTGATATGAGATACACTGGACACTGCCTCCAGCAACAAAAGGTAAAGAGTGCTTTTGGTTACATCAAGAAAAAAAAGGTTTGCAAGTGAACACAGACACTCTCTTCATACTTAGCTTATTCAGGAAAATTAGACTTCAGACTGCTTTGTAGATAGAATGAGAGTATACAACTCACAGTTCATTCATTATCAGTTTTGTTAATGCAGTAGAAGAAATAATAACTCTAGATGCAAAGGGTGAACAACAGAAACAAGATTAACTTGGGCTGTTTTTTTTCTTGAAATAAAGGAACTTTGAACTCTCACATAAGAATACTAGAGAAAGTCATATATATATGCTCAGGTACTGCACTATTTTAGATCTTATACAGCTACTGAGAATATTTGAAAAGTAGGCCTTACACTGCTTCTGTCTTCTCTTGCTCTAGTGCAGTGTTGTTTGCAAGCAAACTGCTGTATTACTCCTATGTCTCTCAGCAAAGAATATATGCCCCTGGGTGTGTGGTGTGGGGGCTTTTCTTTGGTGGTTGTTGGATTTTTGTCTGTGTTTGGTTTTTGTTGTTAAAAAAAGAATGTTGCTTTTCAGTAGTCAGAATCCATGTTCCAATGTGACTGGCCTACTTTTTTTAAATTAGGGTCAGAGCACTGAGTGTTGCAGGCTAAATGCTTTCAGTTTTCATACTGAAAGTAGGAGTCGTTCTTATGTCACAGGCAAGTACTTCATTGGTGATATGCTCTGTTGCAAGTTAGCTGGGCATCCTGTAAGAATATGGGCTTCTAAAGAGATTATGCTTAGAAATTCTTCATGCAATTAGGGGATAGAGGAAAAATGTATTATAATCTTAATAGCAGTACATCCTTCCTTCATCAGTGGATTTCCTTAAATACCACTTTAATAATGCCTGTAAAGATTATTTTATTATCTAGATGTGCAAAACAGGTGCAGTTCTTCGTAAAAGTACTGGGCTTCCTTCTTAAAGCAGTGGATGTGTCTGTGACTTTAACCCAGAGTGTTTCTCCGCTCACACTTAAATAAGAGGCTTTAGTCTAATGTGTGTGAAAGTTACAAATGAATATGCTTTGTTTTGGTTTACCTGTTCTTCTGAAAGTTGTTTCTGCTATACAGCTTGCACATAATGAAAACACACAGTAAGCAAGATCAACAGCAGCAAATTCTTTACTTAGCAGTCATTTAATGTTATTCCTGCTTTCATTTTTATTATAGTTGGGATGGTAACAAAACCAGCGAGTGAGCAGTCCCAGGATTTTTCAATACACAATGAAGACTTTCCAGCATTACCAGGCTCCAGCTACAAAGACCCAACATCAAGTAATGATGACAATAAATCTGTAAGTAAACCCTAACTCTTCTTTTATTTCAAGTGATCATACTTCTTTTGGTGATTATATTTTAAAATTTACAGTGACTATATTTGTAATGTAAGATTTTCAAAATTTGCATAAGCGACATTTCGTATATAACCACGTAAATAGAATTTTTGGTCCCAGCAGGCACTGTGACCTTGCTTTTTCAATTTCATGACTTCTGTGTATGCTTTCATTTTTTGGGGAGGGGCTAGGGAGCAAATTGCAAGAACACCTCAAAATTTCTTTTTGAGAATTGATATATATTTTCCAAGCTTTGTAATTCATAGTTTCTTTTTCTACCAATTCCAGCTCATTTTTCTCTGTTGGTACCTCTCATCATTAGTAGTAATTTACACATTGTAAAAATCTTTCTTGAAGCCTGTCAAATAATTTAAGGGTTACGTACAATATCACTACAAGGTAAAATTCTTGATGGGGAAATGTACTCTCTTAATAGAGATAATTGCATTCATAGGTAAGTTGTAGACTAAAGAGATACTCTGAATCTTAGTTACTGTTGTGCTTATCATGCATTAGATATATAGTTTAGATCATAAGATGATGGGGTTTTTGTTGTTTACTCTGAAAGATTTGTAATAAAAATTGCTTTTATATTAGAAATGAGAGGTGAATAAAATTTGGATGGCAGAGAACAGTTGCTACAGTATTTTGACAAAATGTTCTAGTTTCTAATTGTTTTGTTACTTACAATTGAAAAAAATATGTTGATCAAGGTGGCATAAATACTGATGAGTAGGTAGTAGATGTGACTACAATTCATGTGAAAACGAAACTGTTCAAAAAGGGATGGGAGGTAGCCTAGCCCCCAGATGTTGTGGTCAGGTTTATCATGTGGAAAATGTTCTGCTATAGTAAGCACTAAAAACAAGAAGGAAGGAAGGAGTAAATGTGGTTACATTGTGTTAATACAGAGTTGTTTGAAAGAATAATGAAGAGTAAATAATATTTCTGGGAGATACCTTTTGTCAGTACATGGGCTCCTGGAGCCCAATCTGTTTTCTTGCCAGACATAATGTTTACACCTCTTTTCTGATAGTTGCAAATGTACCAACTGTGTGTTACTTACGCCTGAAGTTGGCTTGAGTTGCTACGTCGTGGAGTGTTATGCAGGAGGAAGACTATATGGGAAAAATACATTATGTCATGAGTCCAAAATACCCTCAAGACACAGGCATTTGGGGTAGTCATTGCATATTCAAACTCAGTTATAAAATATTTTCTTATGCTTTTAAACTGCAAGCTTCAGGCTCATTAATAGCCCTTATTGTTTGATAGGTGTTCTTTAGGAAGTGGTAAATGCTACATAAGGTTTGTCAACAGAACTCAAGACCTTCAGTTTTGTTGCATTTTAGTGCCTAATTTATTAGAGTGACTTGATGTACTGGTTTACAGTGCTTGACTGAAAGATAAGATCAACAAGTTTTCCATTTTGGTTTGTTTCCGTCATACCAACTCTGAAAATTACTTTTAATAGAATTTGAGTACATCAGGCAAAACATCATCCAGCACAGATGGGCCCAAATTTCCTGGAGATAAAAGTTCAACTACGCAAAACAACAACCAGCAGAAAAAAGGGATCCAGGTGTTACCTGATGGTATGTGTCATTCCGCTTTTTCTTCTTTAGAACTTTTGACATTCATTTAGATCACCTTGTTGATTCCTGCATTTCTTGGAAGGAGAAAATTAATTTATTCTTCTTGCCCAGGTCGGGTTACCAACATTCCTCAAGGGATGGTGACGGACCAGTTTGGAATGATTGGCTTGTTAACATTCATCAGGGCAGCAGAGACAGATCCAGGAATGGTACATCTTGCATTAGGAAGTGATTTAACAACACTAGGTCTCAATCTCAACTCTCCTGAGTAAGTTTCTGATTTTTAATACTGTCTATAGTTTTGGTTTATTATGCTGTCCATAATAGGCTCGCTTAGCTCACACAACTGTCAAATCCACAAGGTATTTTGTCCAATAAAATTTGAAAATGTAATTACAGTAAAATAAATTTTCATAGACAGGAGAATTGTGCTTCAAGGCATACTGAGATCTTGTTATGAAAGCTTTCAATAAATCTAGTGACTTTGCTTATTCTCATAACTTCTTTAGGACTTTTTTGAAGGGATTGACAGTGCATTGTTAATAAATAACCTGTACACATTATTTTTCAGATAATAATATTCTTAGAAAATATCTACACTTGACTTTCAACAATATGAGCAGTAAATTTGATTTATATTAGTGTAATAATGAACATCCCATCTGCAGTGTTACTCTTCACCAGAGATAAATTTAAATTAAAATGTAGTTCTTTACTTAATTTCTAGTCATTCAGTTTACCTAACTTTAGTCATCTAGGCTTCCTATAGAGGCAGTGGAGAGTAAAGCAGTTAGCAACTCCACTAATGGTAAGATAAGTGCTTAAGATAGTTGAGCTGAATCACCAGCCCAGGATGCCTCTTTTTCTCCAGTAGTTGCAGAAGCAACATAGATCAGTTTGGACAAAAAAACTTATCTTGTAGGTGGCGCTAACTGTGAGGGAAATATAGTTTCTGGTACTCTGACTTTTAGCTGAGAAACTCCCATCTTTTTTTTTTTTCAAAACAGATATACACAGTGTTAGCCTTATTGATGGTATATGCATTTTAAGGTTTGCACATAATATATAGACAAAACAAAGACCAAACAGCATACACACATAGAATTTCCAGTTCTGTATCAAAAAGCTGGTTTTATTTTATACTACAGAAAAGCTCTACAAACAGCCTGCACAGTTTTCAGAGTCTGGCCTGCCATCTTGCCTGATGTAGAAACATCCTTTGCTTGCTTTATGAATTGTCACTTGGAAAGCTAAAAGCATTTCATGTGTGGAAAGCCACAATTTTCTGCCTTCTGAGATACTTCTGATGATAGAAATACCTGCCTGACTTAAACACTTAACAAAATAAAAGTGCTTTTAGAAACAAAATTGTAGAATTCTGTATATATCTCTAATGGTTTGAATTAGCCATTATAACTCCTGCTTTTGTATAGATTTTCTGTGCAGGCAGGTTAAGATTTATTTTGGTTGCTGAAATAATGATTATGCATTCCCTGGACGGACCTGTATTTCTTTGTGAAGACATGTACTTTTAATTCCTTAGAATAAGTTAAAATTCTACATAAACAAAAATGGAAAACACAAGGCATTATTTCATTCAATTCTTTAGAGATTGTGTAGCTGTTTGGTCCTGTTCTGAAGCTTTCTGAAATATTAATTAAATAGGCTGTAGGCTGCCCAGTACCTCCTTGAAAAATGTTAAAATAGGAGATTTTTATTTGTACCATAGAGGCAACACGGTGCACAAATTCTCTCAGATGTTATTGCATACAGAGGTTCCGTCTCAGTCGGTAGAATCCTGGATTCTTTGTCCTAGGAAACCACACATGTAGAGCACGCATGAGGCCCCTCCTCTTGGGATTATGCCTGTCCATGCTTTCAGTAGAGGGAAAGGTTTAATTATTTTCAAAATCTGTATTTTTTTTTTTTGCCACTGAAATCTTCCTTCAGGCTCTAAAGCATGCTTAACGGTAAGATTGACACTACTTGATCAGTGTAGTTTTTGGCCCATATAGCTCAGCTGGGACTTAAGCTTATGTCCAAGTAATTTGGTAGGTTTCCAATATTTTTATAGTAATTATTAGGCCTTTGACAAGGTACTCAAGTTTAATTTACAAAACTTGCCATAATAGTATGTTATTGTGGATAATAGAATGCTGTCGTGGCTGGTGAGACACTGGAACAGGTCATTCAGAGAGCTAGTTGATGGCCGATCCCTGGAAGTGTTCAAGGCCAGGCTGGATCGGGCTTTGAGCAACCAGGTCTAGTGGGAGGTGTCCCTGCCCTTGCAGGGTGCTTGGAACTAGATGGTCTTAAAGGTCCCTTCCCACCCAAACCATTCCATGATTCTCTGATTCTATGAAGTCTTGTTCTTGTAGATTCCCATTGCAGTTTTAAATACAATTTTACTCCACATATTACAGAGAAAATGAATAAATGTAAATATTTTAGGAAGATGGGCTGGAAATTTCCTGTTTTCTTTCCTTCTCACCCCAGGTAGTGATTTTGGTTGTGTGGTATGATTTTTAGGTTTGAGATTGGTTGTGGGGATTTTGTGTTTGCTTGCTTTGGTTTTTGTGTTTAATTTTAATAAATTTCTGCTTTTCCTTTCTTCAGAAATCTTTATCCCAAATTTGCATCACCATGGGCATCATCACCTTGTCGACCTCAAGACATAGGTAAGAGAGAAATAACTAATTAATTCAATATTGATGTTTTCAAATTATATTCATTTACATGTCTTAATAGTTGCATCAATTCCGATTCTTTTTTAGACTTCCATGTTCCATCTGAATACCTAACTAACATTCACATTAGGGATAAGGTGAGTACATTTTGTGTGTGTGTGCTTATTTTTTGTTAATTTATTACAAGTAATTTTCTAATTATTTTTTTTTTCTGATAGGCAGTGTTCAAAATCAGTGCATTTTATGGATTTCCTCAGACTTTTTAGGAACAGTGATACATTTACTGGCTAGTTGGACACATCATGTGCCCATTCCACCTTAGAAAAAGAAAGGGAAGAGAAAACTGAGAATATGCATGGTTAGCTAAAGAATACATTATGCTTTTAAGAGTATACCCTTCATGCAAAGCAGAGGTTTATTATAATCCAGATACTGTAATGTTCAAATGCCATATTAAATTGAGATATTTCTTCCAGACATAAGCTCAGAATTACAGTTCAAAATATTCTCACATTTATCTGTTGTTTTCCATATCTACATGAATAGGGATTTTTTTCTTAAATATGTTTTTTCAACTATTACAGTTCTGTGAGAGGGATCACTGAAAAATATTGTAAGAAGTTGTAGTAATGTTACTTAATAAAGTGTGAAGTGAGCAAATACATGTGAATTACTTTTTAATTAAAAAACAAAACTTAAGTAGATGAGACTAAACACAGATGCAGGGAGGAAATTCTGTCTTTCTGGTTCATTTTTCTGTTTATTTTTCTTTTCTATCTTTTAAGTTGGAAGGGTTAACTAGAAAGGAAGAAAAATTGTTTGTTTTAATAATTACTACTCTTGTTATATTAGAGTATAATTTGCAACACACTTAGGATGGAAGCACATTCTGGGTGTATCCTTGTGTTATTTAAGCAAGATAGTATGTCTTAAAACATTTCTCTATTGTGATTTTTCATCCTCATTTTCTTCAATCTTTTGCAGCTGGCTGCAATAAAACTTGGCCGATATGGAGAAGATCTCCTGTTTTATCTCTATTACATGAATGGAGGAGATGTATTACAGCTATTAGCAGCAGTAGAGCTGTACGTTCAAACTATTTTGTCAGTCTTATATGATTTACTCTATTGCAGTAATGAAGTAGTAGATGTAAAAAAACCCACCCAAGTTAGACACTGAAAGAAGAATCTTAGTCAATCTAAAGCTGGATACCTTTTTTTAAATACCTCCTCCAACCTTGGTTCCATTCTGTACCTTTTTTTTTTTTCATTCATATAATAGAAGTCAAAAGTCTGTGTCAGTCATCATGAAACATCTAACTTATCGTCAGCAAAATGAAAACCAGTAAATAATCATAAAGAGAACGTGTTGACTTTTTGAAGTTTCATAGTTTGAGATGTAATAATTGTACGGAAGAGGTATGAGACTGCAGTATGTCTTAGAAAGTTTGTTTTGGTTTTGAATGCATTGCATAGTTTTGATTGAAACCCTTAAAATTGTATTTTTTTAATGTCAAATTCAGGTAACTAACACTAAAAGAATATTTTTTCTTCCTATTAAAAATGAAAGATTTAACCGGGATTGGAGATACCACAAAGAAGAACGAGTATGGATCACCAGGGCACCCGGCATGGAGCCAACAATGAAAACCAATACGTACGAGAGGGGAACATATTACTTCTTTGACTGTCTTAACTGGAGGAAAGTAGCTAAGGTATCTACAGATTTTTTAAGTCTGTCAACCATGTATTTTTAAAAGGACAAAAGTAAAACCTAACCTCCTCGCCAAAACTTTTTAAGCTCCTGTTCAACTTCATTATCTTTATTTCTGATCTGTGAGGGAACAGAGGTTGCTTAAAGCACTTGCTTGTTTATGGAAAAGGAGGAGATGCTCTATTTGCTGTGTCCTTAAGGAGGTACAAGGATATAGAACTTACGAGTTTTGTTCAAAATCAAAAGCTTTATTCAAGCACAATTATAGAATAGGAAGCATTATTTGGCACTTCAGAATTTGTACTTGCAGATATTTTACTGTTTTGCGTTAGAAAATTCAATAGGGAGCTATCACATCTCACTTTGGAATTAAAAATAGGTATGGGGGAGCTGTTTATTTGGGGGTAGGGCATGAACTGGGGTTTTTTGTTTCGGGGTTGCTTCTTTTTTGTTTGTTTTGGGGGTTTTTGTTTGGTTGGTTTTTTTGTGTGGCTTTTTTTTGTTTGTCTGTTGTTTGGTGTTTTGTTTTCTTTTCTTAAATATTGTCACTCCTTGAGCATCCTGCATGACTTGTGCACTGCTGTTTGAACATTAGAGTACTTTGAAATAAATAACTTCTGTTAGGGTGGAGGCATATTTTCATGTTGCTTGTTTTCTGTATTCTAGGCCAAGAGGCATTAAAAAAAATTCAAAACCTGTGGCCTTCTCACTTCTGATAATCTTATTGTTCCTTTTTGACCTTGAATAGTGTCAGTAACGTTCACCCTTTACTTGTTAGATGAGGAAATTCATAGGCGTTCTTAGTATTCTCCACCTTCCCCCAAGAAAAATAATTTTCAGTATCTTCCAACTTCCAAGATCGTCCGGCTTCTATTTCCAGTTTTTAAGATCATCTTGTACAATGCCTTTTCCTTGTTAGATCCTGATTTCTGTGCTTCCTCTTCTCCACTAAAGCAGATTTTTCTGATGCAGATATGTACCGAAACACTGAGAAATCAGGAGTGCTAATGTTCCTAACATGGCAAGAGTTGTGTTCTTTTGAACACATAAAAGCTGTACAAGGTGATGCATTCAGCCTTAGCTGGAGCTGGAAAAAAAGCTAAATTCACAATATACATACAGTCATTACACCTACCTGGAGTCTGCTTAAGTTAAATAGTTTGTCAAGAATCTTGTTCCCTACTTAAGTTTGGCTATATGAGAATTCATGGATGTGGCATGATTTTGATTCAAGTTTTAACTGACATTGGATTCATTGATGGAAGAGCAAACATGAAGTTTCCATGTCAGGCCTTCTGTAGATGTAGTATCACTCTCTTGCTTTTCTCTTAGAAAACACTTAGCAGATCAGACCAGATTAATCTTGAAGCCTTGAATTCAACAAATGTGATTTCAGCACACTGGAACTATGTTTTGTTGTTCCACAGTCTTAAGCATTTGTTCAATCAGAAATCTTTTCACCTGAAGCCTAACATGAATTGTTTGCTGAAAAGGCCATTCATTTCTGGGAGCAAGTTGCATCTATACACTTGGAGATAATGAAATTTTGCTTTAAGTAGTTGCGTGTCTGTTGATGCGGTTTGAAAGTCAGCTTTAGATTAAAGGGAATAGAGTTCAGTGTTCTCCCCTCTGTTAAGTGCATTACATTTCTTTCTAGCTAGTATATTGAAGTTTGCCATCATCTAGAGATTAAGTAGGTATGATGGGTTTTTTTGCTTTCTTCTCCCCTCCCGTTGGTAAATGTGCTTAGTCTGTGCAGGCTCCCTTCTGAAATTAGCTTTTTAGTTGCCTCAAATGATGTGGAAAGGCTCTTCAATTCATTTGCACATCTGAGTCATTACCCCTACTGCCTTTCCTGTGACCATAAGAAAACCAAGATTTTGTAACTGAAGGTTTTAATGGTAAGCCCTGCTTGTATGGTTTTTCATGTGTAAGGTAATGTAAGAACTTTAAAGCAAAAGTGTCACTCCCCTCAAAAAGAAAACGCAAACCAAAGGAATGTTTTAATTTCTACTTGAATTGTTTATTCGCTGCTTGGTATACTTTATTAGGTTTCCCAAGACACTGTTTAAAGCTATATTGTTATTATATAAGGTGATCAGAGAGGAAGTAATTACCTTTTGAAAGGATAGATTTCTTCTTGGGAGTCAATTGAATATGTTCCATTTATTTATGAGCAAGAAGAGCCTCATGAAGGTTCATATATCAATGGAATAGAGTTTTTACGCTATGTGGAAACAGTTTTTTTTCTAGAAGTGGTACCCATTGTATAAGGATTGTAACCTCTTTGGTGTCTCATCTATTTCTACCTGTAGTAAATGTATGAAGCTGCTAGTTGATTCTTAAGCATTATTTAAAGTCAGTATCTTCTCTATTTGTAGTCCCGAGTGCTGTCCTGAAATTCAGCATCCAATGCCTTAGGTGTTAATTAGCACATTACCTCCTTCCTTGTTTAAAGGTGGTGAAAGAGATACGAGTCACTACTGTTCTCCAAATGATTTTGCCCAAGACCTACCCAGTTTCTCTTATTTTTACTTTGCAGACTGAAAATAATTCCCCCAACATTAAGAAGCAATTGGTAGCTAGTAAGGAGAGGGATAGTATTTTCTAAAGTTTTGCACCAGCAGCGGTAAGCTAATAAGGAACATGATTTTTTTTTTGCATAGAAAGAGAAAATGTCTCTTCTTTTAGGCTTGTGTACTTCTTAATGTAGACACTGGAAATGGAATATTATCTTGAAGTTATTATATAATTTTAGTTTGGTGCAAAATATAGCAGGCAAGTTGAGTATTGATCACAAGGAAGCTAGAGAAGGATTTGGGGAAAATTGCTATTTTGGGAACATGGGAAAGGAATCACTTGCTGGAAATAATTCTGTGATGTTTCCATCTATGATAAATAAATAAGAGCTTAGGTGCATGATGGGGGTGATCTTGGCATTATATTAATTCTGATACTAATATCTGGAGTTGACATGGAGAAAGGCTAACTTAGACTTGCCATAACAAGAATGGCAGCATTTGATAACTGTGTTTAGCTTTGAATGTGAAGAAAGGTATAGCCAAGTAATTTTTTTGTAACAAATGCAGAAGTATCAATTAAAGTTTCAGGAAATTAAAAATATCAGATAAGTTGCAGTCTCTTGCTAGAACTACTACATTTTTAGTGAATACTGGGAATGTCAGTTCCCTAGAAGGCCACAATAGTAATTGCTGCTTAATAAGTTTCATTAGGTTTTTTTAGAAGCTGTCAGACAAGAATTATTTCTGATAAATTACTCATTCTTACATGTGCAAATTGGATTGTTTTTCAAGGTGCTTTATACATTTGTTGTTCTAGTGCTAAAACACAGGGCAACACATATTTTAATGTGTTTTGTTGTGCAGACATGGTGCATTATTCATTGTGGGCTTATATAATTATTTTACCTAAATTATACTGCATTACAATAGACACAGTGAAATATAACAGTTTAGGTAATATTTTTAAACCTAAAGACTAAGTTTGTAAACATAAAAACCAGATACGCTGTAAGAGATTTTTTTTTTTTTTGTACCTTAGATTGGCTTTATCAAACCCCAGTAAACTAAACTGAATAACTTCTTCTATGAAAACATCAAATCATCTTTTTTTATTAAGCTGTAGACTCTGTATTTTATACTCCTAACAGATCACAGACTGAAGAAGGAAATGCCACCAATTAGCTGAGTACTGAAACAATTCCTAAACTGTTAGGAAATCAAATGAAATTAATTTTGTGTTGATACGTGGTAGTAAATAGTGAAAAAAATATGAATGAAAATAAACTTCAAATTCACCTTAGATGCAAAACAAAATGCAGGGAAGTGCTGATTACAGGTATGTTTGTATATGGTTTTCCATTCTAGGACATGTGCAAAGTACAGTACAGTTAAAGACACTGACTTTTCACTGAGGATTTGGCTGTGTAGTTTGCTGCCGTTGAGGAGACGTGAGAGAGGAAGGGAAGTAGATCCAAGACCGAAAATGCCTTCTACAATTGAATACATACTAAATCCTGGTTTAAATAGTGTGAAGTAAACTGTCTGGAATTTCTCCTTTGAAAAGTAAGGAGAATTAATCCCTTTTAAGGAACAAGATTATAAAACTCTTTTACTTTGATTTGGTAGTTACAAAATGCAGAATTCTTCATGGAAGAGAAGGTTAGGTTTCCAGGTGTTTATTTGCTTTTAAGGCTTGCTGCCTGTATTATATTACTTCCTATCCTTTTGAGATCAATATTAATTGACATACTTTTTTAATTGCTAGAAAGTTACATTTGTTCTTCCAATAGAGATGTGCCATAGCATTTTAATTCAGCCCCTAATTTAAATTTATGTCTTTGCGTCCATCTTTAAGCCAGTATAAATGCTGCTTTTCCATCCTGTTTGGAATTTTTGAGCTAGCTGTGGGATTTCTACCATCACCTTTGATGGACTTACACAGTCCAGAATACTTTGTCCTCAGGGCACTCTTCCTATTCAGCTTACTTTTTGTTTTGCTTTACCCTATTAACACTATGTATCACCTTAAGCAGTCCTCTTCTCTCTTTAGTATTCTTACCTATTGTTATTTGTACACATACAAACTGATGTAACCGTACCATCAAAACAAGTTTTCAGGATGACATAAGAAAGATTTATTTGCATAGAGCAATAATTTGGTGTCACACATGCTAGAAGTTTCCGCACACATTTAGTATTAATTATTCTTGGTTAATAAAAGGTATTTAATTTTTAATAGTTACTTCCATGTGGAAAATAAAGCAACAGGTGTTTGTCAATTGATAAATGGCACTCATTTTACATTTTACTTGTATTTGTTTATATTAAAAAATATCCATACTGCTGGTCCCATCCTAAACCACAGTAGCCCTTGGAATGAAAAGCAAAAAGCATAAAGTATACCTGTAATACAATTATTTTTCTATATGTAATAAATAATTGCCTTTTAGTTTTCAAAAGTATTTGGTCAATGAGTTCTTTTTTTGCTATTGTCATTTATAACTGTAGTTGTTCTTACACACTGCTGGACATTGGACTTGAGCATTACTGACACTGAGATGTACATCAAAAGGGCTGTTTTAAGTCTCTTTATTTTAAAAATCGAATGACAGTTTGAAGTATCAACTCAGGTACTTCTAAAGAAATTTTGGTAGGGAATCACATTCTTTCCTTTAAATGAGAGGCTTCCAACTTGTAGCATACAAAGGACAAGCTCAAGCTCTTGGGTGTGTCTTTCAGACATGCCTTGCTTGCAGCTACTGCTGCCAGTAGAGGAACGATCTTAGGTTTGGAAAACCCTTTTTAGACTACTGACACGGTCCTACTGGTTTAAGTAGCCATTTTCCATAGCTAATTTTGAAGGCATTTCAGAGCCCCTGGAGGTTCTGGTAACTGATTGAAACTTTTATTATTAACCCTTCTCTTTGTTTACAATTCTGTGAAAGAAGCAGTTCTCCAACAGCTGACCATTAATTGATAGCAATCTGCAGACCCTCCCATGGTTATGTGCAAAATGAAAACTTTGAAAGCCATGAATTGGAAATAAGTTTGAGCGGTATATTTTTTTATTACAAAATTAGTCCAGAGTTACTGAAGAACCACCCAACCTAAACCTGCCTTTGACACCAAAATACCCACGTAGATTTGTACACCTTGATACTGCTTCCAACAAAAAGAGGGAGCAGTCATCTCTTCAGTATCAGCACATGTGTATGTATCTGCACAAAAAAAGGACATAGGCCAACTGGCATGCAGTGTTAATTAGGAATACCACAAGCAATTGCCTTGTATATATAACCTAAGAAAGCCCAAACAACTCATCACTAAAATAGATTTAAAAAAACTCAAGAAACCAACAACTAAAAACCCCTGTGGTTGGAGTAGGGAGCAGGGAATGTTTAGGGGTGATGTTCTCTGGGGAATACAGGCTTGCTGAATGCTTAGCATTTTCCCTTACTTTGTTTCCTTACCATGCTCAATATTCTTTCTATGCTAGATGCACCTTGTTTTGCCTTGAAGAAGAAGTTGTGGGAGTTGGAGTTCCTAGATTTTATTTCTGGTCTTGCATTGACTTGATCTTTAGTTTCTCTACCTGTAAAAACTGATATACTACACTATTTAGTCACTTCAGGGAGTATTCTGAAATAATCTGTTCACTACTCTTAGTGTTTTAAGCTTGCTCTACAGTTACACATAATGTTCTTCTGAGGTTCTCTACTGAGTTAAGCAAAATAAATTGCATGTTGCCAGAGTAGCTCTTGAATTAACAAGTAGCCACGTAAAAGAAAAATTCTGAAACTTTTGTTTACTCGTGCAATTAAGATAAAATGAGGATGAGACAGTTAAACTGCTGAAAGGATCTGAATGAAGTAACAAGCACCAAATGTCAAAGTGCACTAATTAGGGTTGTGTGCACAAATTAAGGTCACAGGGAAGGAAAACATGTTTCTCACTGTAATAATCAGGATGCATTTAGATTATCAGGGGTGGTTACAATCTTAATAGTAGTTGTTATAGTCAGAATGAAAATTCCTGTTGGATGTTTTAAAATTACACAAACCAGACATTCTCAAATGAAAGTCAGGTGATTTTGCCAGTGAGACAGTAAAGCTGCTTATTTATGAACCAGTAGCCTGTGTGGCATCTGAGCACATGGGTGAAGATTTTGATTCTGTGTGGTTGTTTATAAAACAACAGTAGAACTTCGCATGAAAGATGTTGACAAAGAGCTATATAGGAACAAGGAGCTCAGGATGTACAGAAGGGCTGGGTAAGTGTGAAGCTTAAATTTTAAGTATGAAATGGGGTGGAACATTTTACTAAATTCTGGCCCAAATAGGTTTCAGTAGTTCACGTCTCGCGTTTTCTACGATCTTCCCCAATTTTGTACTAAGGAGTAATCTTGCTATTTTAACTTGCAATTGGGTCTGGTAGTGTGGCACAAAATATCCCAGAACTGCAGGTCATCCAAAATAAGTTCCTCTACATCTGAACTGTGGAAAGGCAGAAGCTTTTATTCATAGTTTAGCTTATGCCATGATTGTATATTTGTGTTTTGTGTATGTATATACATTAAATTTTTGGAGATAGTAACTGGGGTTTGCAGAGTAATGTAACATTAAAAAGGAGACCCTACATGCTGCAGGTGTAATGGCTCAGGATATTGACTCTTTCCTAATTAAAATATGGAATCCTGGAGAGCGAAATCCGGTGTTTCTGCCTCAAGATAAGGAAGCTGATCTCTTCCATATTTGTACTTTTCAAGCCTGGCTGGTAGAACAGACAGTTCTCAATGGGTAAATGATACGTTGTTTTATTTGGTTTTGTCTTTTTTTTTATTATTTTAATTGTAGGAGTTCCATCTGGAATATGACAAACTAGAAGAAAGGCCTCATCTGCCATCAACCTTCAACTACAACCCTGCTCAGCAAGCCTTCTAAAGACTTCCCTTTTCTTGGGGTATGGCTGTCTCAGCACAATACTCAACATAACTGCAGAACTGATGTGGCTCAGGCATCTTGGTTTTAATTCCTTGAGGATCTGGCAATTGGCTCATGCGAAGGGTCACCATTTGAGGTCCTGCCTTACTAATTATGTGCTGCCCAACAACTAAATTTGTAATTGTTTTTCTTTAGTTTGAGCAGGGTCTGAATTTTTGGTTTTGTTTTATTTTTTTGCCAGCAGACAAGCTTGGGTCTGTAAAGACAAGCAAGTACACTGACAAAAGTTTACCACTTAGTTTTCCAAAATGTAAAAACAAACAACAACAACAAAAAAGAAAAAAAGACAAAAAATTAGACAACAAAATTTGCATTGTTCATTGTAGCACTATTGGTAATAAAAAATGTTTGTGCATTTTTATGTGAAGATCCTTCTCGTATTTCATTTGGAAAGATGAGCAAGGTTTGCTTCCTTCATTTTACTTCCCCTTCTGTTTTTGAAAGGCAGTTTTCGCCAAGCTTAATGCAAGAATATCTTGACTGTTTAGAAGAAAGATATTGCCACAGTCTCTGGTTACTTTCCAGAGTTGTGTATTACTGAGCTTCATCTTTCCAGAATGAGCAAAACACTGTCCAGTCTTTGTTACGATTTTGTAATAAATGTGTACATTTTTTTTAAATTTTTGGACATCACATGAATAAAGGTATGTATGTACGAATGTGTATATATTATATATATGACATCTATTTTGGAAAATGTTTGCCCTGCTGTACCTCATTTTTAGGAGGTGTGCATGGATGCAATATATGAAAACGGGACATTCTGGAACTGCTGGTCAGGGGACTACTTTGTCGCCCTGTGCACTAAAGGGCCAGATTTTCAGCAGCCAAGGACATCCATACCCAAGTGAATGTGATGGGACTTCAAGAAGTGAACTGAGACAATTCACTCTGGCTGTTTGAACAGCAGCGTTTCATAGGAAGAGAAAAAAAAAAAAGATCAATCTTGTATTTTCTGACCACATAAAGGCTTCTTCTCTTTGTAATAAAGTAGAAAAGCTCTCCTCACTGCAGTGTTGACTTTGATTTGAGATTGTGAAATTATTTCTTCAACAATGAAAAAGGAAAAAAAAACTGTTGAAGCATTAAAACTATCGAGCTGTGCAGTGGTTAAGACACTTGAAGAGTCTTTTTGCTGCTGACAAGTAAATTTCTGAGAGAGTTTTTTATTCTTTTCCACAGCCAAAAAGTTTGGTGGACCTTCGTGTCAGATCCCTTCTCTATAATAGCATGTACTGTTTAGAAAGGTGGGTGGGTAACATTGCAAACGGTATAAAGATGCTTCAAGAGTTCATTACACTTGGAAAAATCTTTAGAACTGATCATAGCTTAGTTCCAAGTTGGTATTTTCCCCCTTAAAAGCAGAAATACATTTCATGCGATGGTCACCACTATTTGAACTTCCACACACAAACAAACATGAATATACACTGCTTCTGAAAATTACAGCTGCTCTGTAGAGTGGAGGAAGAAAAGCCTGAGCTGTTTGGATAGTTTCCTTTTTCTTGGTGTGAGTGCCACTTCTCGTTGCATTGCCTCTGGTGATGCAAACCGTGTCAAAATACCTGAAATTGCTGAAGTAAGAAAAGACAGCAAAACATGTCAGGGAGCTGTTCGTTTTTAATATCATGTTTTGAGCTGGTTTTCTCTGTAGTTACAAAACCAGCTTTTTAGCATGTATTGAATTACGCTTGGAAGTTGGATCGTTGGTGGAATTGCTGTGGCTCTGTGTCAGGTGTATAGCAATTTTGAATTCTGCACTTTTTTACTATCCATTTTACGATTATACACATAAAAAGATAAGCCTGTTGATTGTGGTTTTTTAAGGATTAAAGCAACCTGCCTTCTCAACTTGAAAGAAGAAGATGGTTATAATTCAGATGATGGCTAACAGCTGTAAAAGATGGTGGCTTTGTCTTTTTCCCAAATCTGAGCAAATACAAACATATATTTGACTATTCAGACATAACTTTATGAATTTTAAAAGGGATATTTTTTTCTTGCCCACTCCACAACTAGCGTTACATTTGTTACTGTCAAGAAGTTTGCTGTGATCTTTGTTGTATTTTTTTTTTAAGGATTCCTGAAATGATGTTTAGATCTTCAAATCAAATGTGATTATTTTTTATTAGATGGGCTTGGATTTTTAAGGAAATTTCTCATCTGCATAGTCAGTCTGATGAAAGTGAGCAACAGGTATGGTAAATGGAGCAAGATAATTTACAGTAAAAATGGTATCTTTACTAAATACCTATGGTACCTGAAAAACACTTAAGCTCAACTTGGGAACCTAAGTTATCAAAAAAGTTCTTCAATGATACAGTGTATTTAACTGCACAATACTTCAAAAATTGTAGACACTTGATTTTAGCAAATTTCTCACCTGTGAACAAGGAACTGGTGCTTTGCTCCTTCCGAGGGGAAGAACAGTGGCTCTCATTTGTTGATGAAATTAACATATATGGAGACTAAGATCTGTGACTTAATGTCACATTGCACTCTTGGTTGAAGCAGGTTTAAACAGAAAACAAGTTATACAATTGGAAACACTTTTTAGCTGATACCAGATGAACTGAAAAAATGGAAAGAAAACCATTCTGCTTTTTTTTTCTGAAAAGAAGAAAACCTCAGCCCTCATTTACACATATACACACTTGGCAAGCTGGCTGCTGAATCCATCTGGAGATTTTTAACACTGACAATTGAGGTCTGAGGCTTGTTTAATATGTTTCTACACTCCACTAGCACTATGAATAAGAATGGAATGCTATTTTAAGAATACTTTATTTGAGATATGCACATTGTGCAACAGTGTGCCAGGTAAGTTCTGAGTAGGAAACCCTGGTGTTCTTGGAAACAAGTAGTATTCTATTTTCTGGCCTATTTAACACACTCATATCCATGGCTTCTGGCTGCATATTGTTTATAAATCTTCATTGAGTGGTTAGTTCCAGTTTCTCTGGAAACCCACTACCCTGAATTTCCAGAGTTAAAATGGGTTTCACCCACCTGGTTATCCCTAATATTGCCAAAAACACTCATGGATGTTATTTCAACTTACTGCTCAAGCCACCTCACTTGTGGGAAAATCGAGGGTACCAGAGAGTCATGGAGGAGGAAGGAAAGGACATGCCAGCTGGGTGTTTGAACAAACAAACCACCCAGGACTCAGTTTTGCCTGCCTAACTACCTGGTGCCACAAACAGTTAAGCGTGTGAGAACCTTCATGGTCTTGATTGATCTAATTGAAGACCTGAGTAATCCAGGAAAGGCTGCAGATGCTCACATGGGTAAAACTATTTTGCACATGACTGTGGCTCCAGTTAAAGTGTCTGTTGCATGTGGGTCAGGATTCAGGACTGACCACACCATTCTTCCACAGATATGACATCTGTACAGTACAATGACAGTCATGCCACTTTAATGCACGTCATGTCTGAAATCTGTCTATCCCTAAGCTGGTATTTTCCATCCTTTTCTATTTTGCAGTTTTCATTGGAAAAAAAAAAATATAATTATATTAAATATATTAAATATATGATATACCTAAAATAAGAACTTGTGTATTGTATTCAGGCACAAAATTGCTTGGGGAGTGCTGAACGACTTTTTTTGTTGACCATAAAGAGACTATAAAACCATCTTTGGAACCACCTAAGCAGTGCTGGAAGGCATAGAGGTCTGTGGGGCAGTCGGGTCTATCTCAAATGACTCATAGGTGGCTGTGGCTATTGAAGAAGGGTGTTCAACTGTTAAAAAACCATTTTTATAAAGAGATTTGTCACCTAAAAGGAACACATTTTAATTCTTTTAAATTTTCTTTTTATTAAATCCTCATAACTTCTGATTGAAAGTACTTCCATGGCTGGATATTGACTGAAACAAAAAAGAAAGTTTGATTGCCAGCTGCCACGCTTGAGGTGAGTTGAATGCACAATTGTCATCCTAAGCATGAGGTAACTAGACAGTGCTTTTGATTTAAGATCCTAAATATAGTAATTGTTTCTGTTAATGCAAAAATTCTGAGTGTGGTGAGTTTTCAAATAATGTACCCTTTCATCATGTTCCTCAAAATTTGTGGCTGCCTAAAATGTGTCCTAGTAGAAGTTGAATTCTGATAAAGAATGCAGATTGGGTGAAGCAGTTAGTCTGGATTGACAGCTGAAGCTTTTATTTTCATAAAGCATGAGAATTAAAATGGTGCAGCTGTTTTTGTTTTTCTCCTCTGGTAAGCGTGCGTGCTTTTATATCCAAAAATCTGAAAGCTTCTCATACATTTAAAAGACCTGAAGAAATGCAGCTGGGTGACTTATTTTGAAATTGTGGTTTGAATTACTTCAGTAGGTTTCCCTCTTAAAACCACTTGACATGGTTTGACACCACTTTACTGTTGGAGTTCAACTTTTTTTTTTTTTTTTTAGTGATGTTAAAAGCACATTGAACAATAGTTTTGAATATTACTGATTCAACCCACTTGCAGCACTAACCCAACTTGCTTATTATTTCCTAGACTTAGGTTTATCATTTGCATTTCATGGTCCCTTGTCAAG